TTCTCTCTAAAGTAACACACAGACTTAGCAGGTCAGTTTACCTGGAGAGCAGCAGTTAAGACAGATCTGATCTTAAGTTAGATCAGACACAAAATCTAGGTTTATAAATTCAGTTGTATAAAAAATGGGGCAAAGAGATTTCAGAACTTGCCATCAGTGATGTCACAACAGTTATGACTCTCAGGGGAAAGCAATCCAAGGTTGTTTCTTGAAACATGTCCTTCAACAACCCACAAGTAAAGTATTGGGCTAAGAACTTGGATGGATCTGCACAGAAACTGAAAATAAACCTGAACATGCAAGACTCATTCTCCAGTCATCAGGAATACAAAGAAAAGACAAGAAAGGTACAATGAGAAGTGGCTTAGTCTTTATACACTTTTCAGTTCTAGCAAAGTTCTGTTATGATCACAGAGAAAGGAAAAAAAAAAATAGGATGATCTTTATCTTCAGTGCAACTTGCATAATGCTTTTGCAAAAGAAAAGCTAGAAAACTAAGAGGAGAGAGAAAGTGGTTCTTCTGACATGACAGAAAACAAAAGTGAAAGATATGCTGTGTCGGTCCATGGTCGTGTTCTCTTGCATGACATCTAGGATTTGAGACAAGATTCTTATGTGGGATAAAGTGATATGGCTCCACTGCCTCTAGTGTAAACTCACCACTTTATGAATGCTAAAGAGCCAGTCATATTCTGTTTGCCCTAATGAAACTTCTCTAAGAAATGTCGAACGCAAACATGGAGAAAGATGTTTCAATGGTGGGTACAAGCATAGGATTCAAAACACCTGAGATAATATTCAGCTTTGGCACAGGGCTCCTACATGAACATAGGTACGCCTTCTCTGAGTTCACTTCCTTGTGGATAAAACACTGATGCTTATGGGATGCTGTATGGATAAGTGCTCTAAGGAGTGAGGTGCTGGGGTATGCAAATAGTTGATAGCTACACCAGGAAAAGATGAAGAATGCTAACCACTGTCAAGGTGGTGAGCAGTGTTGTTAAGTGGGTGTGTACAAGCCATCCCTTATGCAGGGATGTGCTATCTTGATATTCCTTGTTTACTGAAAGATGCAAGTTTACTGGATGCAGGTAGCCTTATCATCCAGGAAGCCATCAATGAAAAACAAGCAGCTTATCTAGTCCTGCACCCCCCTCCCCCCCACTTCCCTTCCCTTCCCTTGAGCAGCAGAGAGCACAATAAAAGCTGAGACGAGTCTCTGTAGGAACCCAAAGCTGTGAATCTTCCTTTCAGTCTGTCTGGCCAAAATCCCTTCATTCGCAGAGGGAATTTAGGCCAGAGATCACCAGTTCTAGCTCTCCGCCAGAATAAAAGAGACGGTTAGAAAGGAAGGAAAACAGCCATAACTCAGCAAGTACAGTCAGAAGGAGAGAAGTAGGAGATGCACAAAAGACATAGTCCTCTGCTGTGTTTCCAGCTATATCCTCACCCTCATGCCCCTTTCAAATTTCCCCTCCCATGACATTGAGTGGTATTTTATTGTCACTTATATACAAGGATATCGTTTGCCATTTAGAAGAAGAAAGGAACCTGGGATAGGAATAGATTTCCGCTGCTTTGGAAAGAGGTTGAAAACTCATTCCATCCTCATTATATTACAGAGTGGTATTCCAGCCTTAGGAATAAGACACTGACAGATACTCTGGGGTTCCCTGATGCAGCCTTACTGAGGGATGCCCCTCAAGACACAGACAAGCCAGTACAGCACTGCTCCACAGCTTGCTAGAACCAGCAAGACTTGGGAGAATAACGGGCAAGTTCAAAAGTATGAAAGAATTAGAGAATGGAAAAAAACAGAGGTGAAAACAAAAAAGGTGCAGCTGAAGTCTGAGGTGGTTAAAATGAAAAATGGGACTGTGCCATTTACAGGTAGATAGATAGATCAATCAATTGATGTCATCTACACTGACACACTTTGGAGCTATAATTCACTGCTTGGGCAATTATTCCAGCATAGCAGTGGCAGAAACTATATGGGAGACAGAATTCAGGGGCTTTTAGTCAGGGGAGAGTTGGACAACAAAGGAGTAAAAAATGGTAAATGTCATTCCCCAGTAAAGATACATGGGATATAACTTATGACCGTGCAGTTGCAGAGCACAGAGAGAAAGATGGACAGATAGACAAATAGATACATAAAAGTCTGAGTTTTGGTTGTGCAATCATTCGCTGTCTGACCTTATCCTCCCCTACTCTCCACTACTCTTAGAGGGAAGAGTGTTTAGCATTATTGTGTCCCAGTCTCTTTGCTATGTTACTGTTGACTTCTTTATCCCCCCGCACTGAGTAAGTGGTGCTGCCTGTGGAAGGTACGAGGAATTTTTCTTCATAAGCCTTGATGTGCTCAAGAGAGGGCTGGGCTCATCTCTGTCATGAGCCTGACAGGGGCTTTAACAGCCTCACAACACTGGGACAAATAGCTCCTGGTCCCTTAACCCTTCTCAGCTTTGCAAGGCAAGGCCTAGCACTGCTGTTCCCATTGCAAGGGCTTTAGAAAGTCTTTCAGGCTGAAATCCTCTCCGTGGTGGCTGGGCAGAACGGAAATCCAGGGGCTGGATCAGATTGGCCTAATGCTACAGCAGCTTAAGCAGTCTGTTTTACCAGAGATTATGGTTTCACTTACACAGAGCGCCTGAAAAATGCTGTGGTTTAGGAAGGATTATAGCTGAAAATTCCATGCTTTAAAAGAGAAATAAAGCAGGGGAGGGACTAGGAAACCCAGTATGCCTGAGGGCTGTGCAAACAGGATTAACCTCTGCCCATAGCACCTCTTGCTTCTGCCCACCCATGCTTCCTGTGTCCATCCCCTTCCCTGCCCTTTCCTGCCCAGCGGCTCCCACACCTTTGCCCTCTTGCACTACACAGAGATGAAAAAGGAGCCTGGAAAATACCCAGGACCAGAGTATCCCTAGTTTATTTAGCTATGACTGTCACATGCCTTCCTTGAAAAACACCACTCCACTTGCAGCCCCTGAAAGCCAGGGGAACTTTTGGCCCCCTGCCTGCACATAGATCCATTCATCCAAATTATCTAGTATCAACATTATTTGGATGAAGGCTTCAGCACCCCTAGGCTTCTGGTGGTGACTCTGCCTGTCTGTCCTGAAGGTAAATCTGTGCACTCCTTGCCATCTGATGACAAAGAACGCAGGAGAAAAATAGTCCTGTGGATTCTCCATTTACGGAGACCAGCATGTGAAGCCTCACTGGTAGGACTGTAGGAGAGTATATTGGTGTAAAAAGCAGAAGCTGGGTGCCAATGTGCTGTTTACTCTGGCATTTTTAATTAACTGTGCAACAAGAACCAGACACTCCAGTTTCTATTCCCCATACCCACCACAAAAGGTCTTTGCCAAACAGAGCTTCCTACAGCAAAAAGGGAAAAGAAATTACAATCCTTACTTAGCATACCAGAGACTTCATGTAAGTGAAATAAATAAAGATGAACTGTACACCTTTTCGCAAGGACTCATCCTTCCCAATCATCTGAACCATGAACATATGTCTCTGCTGCAAAGGCATCTCAGTAATCAGAGACCTTTGCTGGCCATCCTAGTTAAGAGGTACTTGGAGAAGAGCACAGATGGAAAACTATAATTTTTGCCAGGTAGCAAACCTTTAGGAAACAAATGCCTCAGGATAAAGAGCATTTGCAGATAGAAACTGCCCAGCCCTTTATTGTCTAGGTGAGCACTGCAGCCTCGCAATAAGGTGTCTAGAGTTAATTAAGCCAGTTCTACATTAATGAAGTCAGATTTATGACCTAATTATATGTCACATTTATATTTCTCTGTATAAATCAAAACCACCAGAACTAACTTATTTCATAGGCCATTGGCAACACTTGTCATCACAGCAGAGAGATGACTTTCCTTTATTGACTGTAATTTGTTTACCTGAGGGTGGAGGGTTTGCTAGACAATTTGGATGGGATCTGATCGTATCATCCATACTTTGTATTCAGGTGTTCAAATACAGGACTATATAACTGCTGACCCAACCACAGTGGGTGTTCTGGAGTACCCATGCTTTATGTCATTGAGCTCTCCAATTCCTAAGCCTCTTCCTTGGCTGCAGTTCCAAACCTGTATCTATTGTGCCTATTCGAATCTGAAAAATGGAGGTCCAATGCAAACAACAATATAAATAAGACCTTTTATATGTCTCACACATTTCCTCTCTTCCATTATATCTCTCTGTCAAGGTATCTATCTGGCAACACTATACTGTGGGAACAACTAGAGTCAGTACTGACAGCTTTTATGGTTAAAGCTCCGAAGTGTGCCACTGTGAACAAGATTAATTGATTGATCTGTCTACCCACCTATTAGTTACACAGTCCCATTCTTACTTTAACCACCTCAAACTTCAGCTACACCTTTTTTGTCAAAGCTTTTATGGAGTTTGGCTTGAGAAGCTTTGGCCATTACCCTGAGTATCCTGTTTTATAGATGCTCATAATAATGCGGCTCTCCTGGGGAAGGTTACGCTGGGCTGGAAGAGGCAAAGCAGTATAATTCCCTAGGTCAAACTGTGCAAGTGTAGCATCTTCACATGCCCTTGGTCCACAAGAGAAAGCAGCAGGAAAGGGAGCACAGAAGCTTCTGAGCATTCTTCTCCTTCCCAGCCCTATGCTACCTCCTGTCCTTCCTCTCCTGCATGTCCCTGCCCTCACCTCTCCTTTAACTGCATTCCATCCCTCCCATCTGCCACTGCACTCCATTCTCCTCATCTCCTGCTGCCCCTGCAGTCAGAGCCTAGCCCCCGGGTGCATTTACTGCTGTTGTCTCAGCACTGGCTCCTCTGATCTACTCCTAACCTTTTTATTTTTATTTTGTTTTTTAAATTAATTTCCCTGTAGATTTTAACCACTCCATTTTCATTTACCCATTTTGTTCTTCCTCTCCTCCCTTCCCCACCCTCCTCTTCCTCCCCCTGTTCCCTTTGTCTGTCTGTGTCCATCCCTTACCCTACCACAGAAAACCTCTCCTCTCCCCTCAGTATAAAGCAAGAGCCTCATGGAGCCTCTCTCACCCCTTTCACCCCCACCACGCCGGTCGGCTCTGGGCAGGCTGATCTTCAGCCCTTCCACATGGCCCTTTCAGACGATGCGTCCACGCCTTGCTACAGTGCCTTCCTTCATCATGGTGCCCACTTTGGGCAGTCCAGCAGCCAGCCTCTGATAGCAGGTAACTGGCCTTGGCCACAAACTCAGTGGGAATGCTGCAGGAAAGGGGTGCAGTTTCGCCTGATGGGGAGACCAGTAAATGCTGCAAGCTCTTTGAGTGCAATTGGGAACCAGAGTAGCCATGTTCCAGTTCTGTGTATGCAGCATGTGTGCTCAGCTCCATGGAGGGTCACAGAAAGATTTCATACCAGTCCTTAATTTTTTAGAATAAAATGGGAAAAGAAGCTGTAACTACTTAGAAGGATGTCCCAGTTGTATGGGTCTGGAACTTACTATAGAAATACCCATAGAGCAAAATCCTGTGTTGCCTCCAAAGCCATAATGCCCCTGAGTACTGTAATGTTAGCAAGGGTACTGTGTGCTAGCCTAAAGTGGATGATAGCAGCTTGAATAATTTAGCCAGCTCTAGGATTGACAGGGACATTCAGCATGGGTTGTACAAACTACTAAGCTAGATAAATATACTGTCATAGCTATGTTGTGAGCAGTATTTGAGTCACCTGGTTTGAGAGTGTCAATGTGAGCTAGTCCCTTCACACAGCAGACCAAGTAGCTAAGGAAAAGGGCATCACATCTGAACATCAGGGCCAGGAGGAGTGGGTAAGAGACTGTAATGCCTTACAGCCAAAGGAATACAGGCCCGGGGTAGATGGCCTTTAAGGAGACAAGTGAAGAAATAGGTTGCAGAAGATCACAGCACTTAGAAGCAGCAGGCTGGAGGGGAGGGTGGGGAGCGAGGGTAGGTTTCAGGTAGGTATTAGGGGAAACTCATGTGCAAGGTGACTTAAGCAACATTGCAGCAAAAGCTCAGGTGTGGCTTGGATGAAATGGTGGGTATCATTTTAGGTGACCATTGAGGCTGTTGTCACTTCATTGTCAAAGAATATAATTTGGGCTTTTTCAGAATAGATAGTCTTAGCACAGACCACAGTTCCTAATGCTCAAGAAACACATCTTACCTTTGCCTTCTTCATTTTCCTATTTTTCTCTTCTGACCTAATGTCCTCCCTTTGTCTTGTCAGGTGAGATTTGCATTTCTGAATCTCCCTGTAGGAAAGCATCAGGTAACAGCAGAGAAGACTTTTGTGTTCATAACACTGTCTTGGTCTAATCTTACTGCAGCCAGTAAGAGTCTCTGAGCTCTGGGCACTTCCTAAGCCAAGGAGTCTCATAACAGATTCTCTCCAGCAATACAGTTCTCTAGGGATGCAGTCATATATGAGCACCCTCTAGCCTAGAAGGCACTGTGTTTCAGGAGAGGCATCTGCCTTAGGACCCTTATGGAGAATTAGACATGGGAGAAAGTGTTCCAAAGCTCAAACAATGTCATAGAGATGAAGGCTCTTGGGGAGCGGAGAATGGCTGGAGTTGGAAGCATGTTATGAGCAGGATAGGTGCTAGCTTTGTCAGCCCTGGAATACAAGAATTTAATAATCCTGTCACCTGTTGGTAATGACAGGAGGTAATGGAAGGGGCCTGCCTGCATGTAAGTGCATTTTGAGAGTCTCTCTGTGAGACTCATTCATGTTGCTGATACTGATAACTGTTATCGTCCTTCTGAAGATTGGGATTTTGACTTTCCAGTAAATTTTCTACATGGAATTTTGAACATCAACCTCTGTGTGCTCATGTCTGAATAAAAACACAAGGGCACATGTGCACAGATCGGGCAGCAGAGTGAGTGTGTATGTGTTCCCACCGGAACTGAAGTGTCAAAACTAATTAATTTTGCCTGCTGCTATGTAATGTTCTAACTTTTCAGTAACACTGTCTTCTCACTCATCACCTGTTGTTATATCTCAGGCTAGTCAATAAATGAAACCTAAAGAACATGAATTTTAAGCATAAAACTTTCTCACCTTTAAAGAATGTGAAGGGAAAGAAAACATAATCTACATGTAGGAGGTGTTTATCATCCATCTTAACACACAACTACCAATCCCTAAGAAATGAAGGTTATAAAAGAGTAGAAGAGTGCAGAATATAAATCCCTGAGGCATTATATATTTATTTTTATCAATATTGGGGAGTGGCTGAAAAATGGCTCAGCCATGAGACTACTCATGCCTGGTAGTTCTGTCCCATTATCCAAGTGCAGGTGAGACAGGAACATCAGCCACTGATTAGGAACTCTTCAAGGAGAAAGAATGAATTTGCATTTCTTTTTTCTTGAGCAAATCACCTCAGTAATCTTTAGTCAAGACCTGTGAAAGCAATGAGGTAGTTTAGCCTACCTCATCAAAGAGTAACTTCCTCCCTTCAGGTCAATGCTCCATGTTGATCAGTTTTTGCTTTGCTGTGTAACTGTTGCGTATTTCTGATTGCCCAGCAAAGGTTCATGCTTGTTGAAGGGCCTGCTTTACCAGTTATCATTCTGCCATTAGTAGAGCTAAACCAACTCTTACTCTTCTTTCTCTGCCATACCCGAGCATGCTACAAGTGACTCTAGTGGTGTTAATACCTAACCTGTCACTTCTAAAGGTGATCACATTCCAGTCCTCCAGTTAGAGCAGACAGGAGAGACAAAATTTAACAAAGGAACAACAAATGGCACAAATTTCTTGAGGAGCTACAGGTCACCTAGGGAATGTGAAAGGCTTTGGATGCCTGCAATAGGCTGAGATCTCAGTAGGTACCATTGGAGGTAGAGTTATAAATCTCTCAGCAGCTGTGGGGGAAAAATTATCTTAATTTATGTAGCCTTTTTTTGTTTGGTTGGTTGGTTTGGTTTGGTTTTGGTTTGGTTTGGTTTTGCTTTGGCTTGCAATTCCCAGCAGCTTCTGAGATTATTTTAGTTCATTTAAATGCAATAAGCACTAACAGCAAATGCCCTTCCAGCTGGCCCATTTTCAGGCTAACAAGTCCAAATGAAGAAATGCCTCTGGCATCAACCAAGAAGCCTCCAGCTGCACTTCCTAAGAGATGAAAAATAAACTACAACCATCCACCCAGTCCACACCCCTCTCTACTTTGGTGGAGAAAAGATAACACTTGTACCTGCGATAAAAATGAAGTGGGACTCAAACTAATTTGCATGATTCTATTACAGTATATATTACACTAGCACCTGGAAGGAGTCCAACTGGTATTGATCTAATGCTAAGCACTGTGAAAATGTATTAAGTGTGCCCTTGCACCAAAGAGTTTGCAGCATAAGAAGCAGCACAGAGATGAAGTGACTCACCTAAAATCATCATCAGGTGAATGGCAGAGGTGGGAAGAGAGACAGGCACAGAAAACTCCTGGATCACTCTCCAATGCCTTGCACATTGATCATGCCCTAAAGCAACATCCTACCAGTTTTGGAACTGCATCCACTGCAGATAGACAGGACTTCAGCTACTCTGGCAGAGAATATGCCACCATTCTCTGTGCAGCTCAGGGCCATTTTGATTCAGTTAAAATAAATGCAAAATCTACAATGAAACAAATTCTTTTGAGCCTCACAAAGCTAAGTTTTAACATCCACCCTTATTATAGTGTGAGATTGAAAATGCCATGAACTTCCCCCAGAATTTTCAGTGGATGAACAGCACTTATGCAAAAGAAGTGTGCACAGCATTTGCCTATCAAGCTGCTAGTCATGTGACATTGGGAAAAAAGGTGGTATCAAATCAATATTGAAAAACCTTATCCCCATTGATCCCCTATCCTGATTCTTTCCCTTTCCAGGTCGTGATATGGCAAGCACCACCTTGCCTGGCTACCCACCCCATGTTCCCCCAACTGGACAAGGCAGCTACCCAACCTCAACTCTTGCAGGAATGGTTCCTGGTAAGTCAGCCCCCAGACTTCAGTAATGCTGCACACGTGTTTAAACAGTATACTAGTATTGTAAGAGCTTTCACAGTTGGCTTTGCTATTGCTTTGCTGATATTAAGGACTATTCTTTTCATAAAGAAATCATCAGGTGCCTATAACAATTGCAGCTAAGGACACTTTTTGTAATATGTCTCTTTCCCCCTAGTAACTGATTCACTGCTGCTGTGGGCAACTAGCTATCTATAACCTGTGGCAATTAACTGGTAATTAATTAACTTTAGTATTCATTAACTAATGTAATTATTTTCCAACAACCCCTGCAGATTATTAAGTACTGTTCATGGCTCACAATATTCAGCTATCCACTAACTTAGGGTAACAATTTACCTTCCATCTAAAGCCAAGGCATTAAACTGAAAATCATCAATGATAATATAATACCTGCAATTTTTGGAGACCCACTGTCCATAGCCTAAACTAGCTAAGAACTCAGCAATGATTAACAGCATTTCAGAAGAAACTAACTATTCCCTTTTAACAACCAGCTACCTACCTGCCTCCTCTTTGTAAGACTGTGCCTCCAATCCAAGAAACTTTGTACCTAATCCTGCACCTAAAGGCAAACTGTTCCTTTGCTACCTGATTTATTTGGAGAAGTATTTTCTATTGGCATAAACAGAAGGATTCTCCCTCTGTTTAGGGAGAAGAGAGGACCATTTACCCTAGGGCAATTGAAGAGTTTATTACCTCAGGCTCTATTCCCCATTCCTCAGATTACAGTTATCCCCAGCAGATAAATGAAGAGGCAGGATTTTTGTTTCTCAGCCACGGTAGCTCAGAACTCAGAACTTCATCTGCCACTGACTTCTGCTTCTGTTACTGCCCTGGGCTGTGAGTCGTGATGGCTAATGAGCAGGTACACAGTCCATTCTGCAACCTCTGCTACTGAAGGGATGACTCCAGAACCAAAGCAGCAGAAAGCTGAGGACAGAAAGCTCTTAAATCACTATGATATGATTTGCCAGGGCTTAGGAGTGAAAAGCCTAAACACCCTCATCCAAATCTTAGAACAGCTAGCTATATGAACATACACTGCAGCAACACAACTGAAAATATCACTGACAGAAATGTTTGCATGTTGAAGTCTTAACATCTTTAAATGACAAATCACTGCTCATATACCACGAAGTACTGGCTATTGCCCATGGTCACATTCCGCAACTAATAAGCTACCTACTGCTTATGATCCTAAGGCACAACAAAATCTCAGGCTATGCTGTGAAGATGATGTGATTGATCTCCAGATCAGGAAAAGATAGTGGATTGATACTTTCCTCACCTCCACTTTAGTCCCTTGATATAGCTGACCAGCTTGCTGAACTGGGGTGGTGCAGAGGTGGCAAATTTTAGGGCATCTCATTCTACACTAAATTTTTCAGATAGATGGTTTGGTTCCAGAATCACAGAAGCAGTAAGACAATATCGATCAGTTTAAAAACCCCACACAGTAACAGTAGGTAGACTCAGTTGTCAATATTTAAGTCAGTTGTACGTCAAAACTTAGAGACGATCACAGCATGCAGAAATTATTAATAACTTCAAAGTAGCCGACTCTTTGAATAGACACTTCTAAAAAACAGGCTCTTCTCAACTTCTGACTGTTCTCAACTGTTCAGTGACTGCTATGCAAGTTTAACATCCTCATCACAAGGATAATGCTGAAATCTAAACTGTAAAAAAAAATTAAGGCCACTAATCACAAGGGTCAGTTATCCAAGAATAGTGTATTTCATCTCCTTGATGTGGATGCTACTTATTTGTAAAACGGCAGTGTCCCTTGAAGCCACACAGATGCCCCCAAAAAGAAAAGAAACAGGATGATAAAGAAAAAAACTTGAGTTACACTTCAAAGAAAAAAAGATTCTTCAAGTCAAGTGGGTGTCTTTACATTAAATCTGATGTCAACATTCCATTAGAAGAAGTTTTTCCAGTGGCCTACTTGGGTATCCTGCAGTAGTTACTGCATCTTTCCACAAAGCCCTTCTATTCCTGTCTTCTAATGTGACTGAAGCCAACAAGCTGGAGAGATAAAGAGGCTTCATGAGAAGGAACAGAAGACTTGGCTTTAATGGGTCATGCTGCAGATCTCCTCAGCTACAGGCCAAAAATGAACGTCTGGGGAAGGGTGTAAGAATAGAGCAAATGTGTATTGGTACTTTACCAAAAGATCTCCCAGCCTCCGACAAGTTGCATCTCAGAGACTTCCTCAGCCACACTTAGTATCTTTCTATTTAATTTTTACACGTCCTCAGTAGGTTTCACCTCCACAAATTTGAACAGTGTCTCTTGAACCCATATAAGCCTTTAACATCTGTAGCAACCTATGGAAAGAAGTTCTGTAGCTTAACTACATACTGTGTGAAAACTAACTCCCTTATTTGTTCTGAACCTGCCACCTGCTAGGCTCACTTCATGCCTCATGGTTTCTGTATTAGAAGACTAAACGTGCCAAGATTTAAATACAGATACCAAGAAATACTGCTAGTAAAGGTTTCTAGAGCACGGATTGCACAGAATATAGGCCTCATGAGATCAATCCCCTGTGCTTGCTTGCAACCTCTGTTAAGACACCAGGTTGAATAGAGAAAACAAATATGATCTTGCCAATGGTTTTTCCCATACCCCCAGGACAAGAAAGATCACGGGCCAGTGCTTTAACTACGCTGGAAACAAGAAATCAACAAGATGACCCCTCAGGGAGTATCTTTAAGAAACATACTCACATGCAAGCAAACCTTATTGTCCAGATGTGAGTGAATATGAGAAAGAGCCTCTGTTTTCTCTAGATAAAGGTGCAGAGCTAAAAATAGAACTGCTCAGAAACCAGAATTTCCAATCCATACAAAACTCTGATTCTTTGACATTTGTTTTCATCTTGCATTGGTATGAGGAGCCAGAATCTTGAAATAGTTCAATTTGCAGATATCAGGATGAAACATTTCAATAACATCAACATGTTCTAGATGTCAAGACATATTAAAATAATGAAAGAATTGAAAGGAAATTAAATGAGATGAGAAAGGCAAAATGAAACAAAACAAGAAAGTTGAAACATAATACTTTGTTTCAATTTGCAATCATTTCAGAACTTTTCTTTCCAAAACTCCATTGAAGCTGACAAGCTTGTGCAAAACATTTTCATTTTGATGAGACAGCATTTTCCAGTGGAAAACTGTTTCTGAGAAGATTGTTTGACCAGTGCTAACCAAAGCTGCTTTGCTCTATCCATGACAACCTTTCACTAGAAGTCTACTTGTGTAATCTAGAGAAGAGCTTGTCTCTGGTAGCAGCACATCCATGCAACATGGCCAGTCATGCATGCAAATATCTCTGAGGTTTATGTTCCATGATGTGGTAAGATACATATCCTGCATCTGCCCTTGCCTGTAACTGCAGGTCCTAGTCTGTAGACATGGATGAAAGCCAGTAGTCCCTGAGCACCAGGGACTTGAAAAAGCAGGGGTTAGTCAGTCAGAGAAGGATTAATCAGGTACTGTGCTACACACTTAACCTGTGTGTCTGAAAGAGGTTTCTTGCACAGGGAACAGAGCACCTTTGCTCCCTGCCTCAATTCTTCCTCTTTCCCAGAAAGACCATCAAGTTTCTGCAAACTGTTTTGGAGAAGTCAGCATCCGCTAAAAGGGAAGTGCAGTTTACCCAGAGCAGCTAGAGCTTGCAGAGGGCTGGTGATGGCAACGGCAGGGAGTCGTTAAACAGAATCCAATGTTGATGAGGAAATTACACTTGTTTCATTAGTGATCGAGGAAAGCGATAGCTCAGTTCCTCTTGGTCACAGTTGAGCTCAAAAGCTCATTATCCTGCTGCATGCATGCTTTCACTCCTCGTCAATAAACACTGTTTCCAGTGGCTGCCCTCCCTCCTCCCCAGCTCTCCATAGCTGGGGCTCCTTCTCCTCTCCTTAACCCACGCTTTAAGAACACTAGAAACAGTTTAGGGTGACAACTCAGAAGATGGTGGGAGAGAAGCCTTGAAATGTCAGAACTTCTTCCCTCTGTGCAGTGAAAAGATGTTTATATGAGGTATTTCAAAGCAGAAATCCTCATTTGGATGCTTTTTTTTTCCTTCTTATTGTGGGCAAACTCACTCCTTTATATCCCGCAAGCAAGTCACTTCAGTGGAGATTAATTAGGATTACACATTGCTTTTTGCCTTTGTATCCTATCCCACAGTGTCTTGGTCACCTTGGCAGGTTTCACCTATTCCTTCCCAGCAAGCTGTCAGAATTTTCAGTGCAGGATGTTTCTAGATATGGAAATATGCTGAGTTATTATCATTAAAAGAGTATTTAGCAAGGTCTATCACACAAAATGAGGTTTTATACTGAAGCTAAAAACTGCTGGGACCAAAATACTTTGGATAGTGATTGGTTTTTGATACATGCAACTTTTCATACTGACTACTTTGGCTATTACCCTGAGTTTCTTTAAAAATCTTGTTGGACACATTCTTCTCAAGTTTAAAGCAGTGCAAATCCCCTGACTTCAACAGACTTCATTTCCACCATCTGAGAACCTGTGGTTTGGCTTTAACTCTCCAGTGAGGGGAGATTTGCAGAGATTACAGTATAATTAATTGACATTTCTTCGGTAATTGTACCACAGGCATCCAGCGGGTCTCGCATTGCCTTCTTTCCTTATTCCATGGTACCTAGAAGGAACCCCAGGTGCTTTCCAAATACTTCTGTTGTAACAACTCCTCCCCTTGCTCAGGGCAAGACCAGAAGCTAATAGTCACACTGTTCATTAAGTGCATAAAGCCATTCAGATCACAGTAATTGTCCCCAGTCTCTTGGTACTACTTGGTAGATTAAATTATGAACAGGTTATGATCAGATAATGGCATGTTTTTACTTAGCAGAATCATAAATTTTTAAGTTTGGGGAGATTTATTTATTTTGAATGTAGCACCACACCTCCTCAGTTACCAAACATAATTCCTTAGCCCTGTGCAGCCCTCTATAAAACAAGGAGACTCAGCAACTTATGCACAATAAAACTGAATATTTAAGACCCTACAACGTTCAAAGCTGGGGTCAGACTCTTATTAGATCACAAGTATTTTGGCTTGGGTCTGTTCTACTGAATGTGAAAAAGCTCAGTTTGCCTTTCAGATTCAGAATAGTACCTAAAGCAGTAATCATTAGAAAATTATTTTCTGGAACTAGAATAGAGCAACTTTTCTCTGTAACTCACTAAGCACAAAGGTGGGGTTAATGATACATAACTCAGTTTTCTGACTAGCACCATCTATACAGGGAGTAGGAAAGATTCTTATGTTTTTCATTTTGATTTATATTTAAGCCCACCCTACTCTCACTGTATTCATGGCGAAATTACTTTTCTCCACAAATACATCATCACCTGCAGTACCCTACAAACAAAACTTAGCAATACATATTGCCATCAGCAGCCCTGCTAGTTCCAGTGAGTTTATTGTGAGCTTGTCCCATCAAGCTCCAATGCCTGGTGTCTTGACTCTACTGCAGAATCTTACATTTTACTTAAAAGAAAGCTGATGGTTAGTTGCAGAAAAAAGCTTGCATGTGCTTTGTAATCTTTCTGCAACCTGGGAAACAGAAGTTGGAAGGCAACAAAAAATAAATCACTTTAATTATTTGTATTATTGAATTTCATTATTTTAAACTAATTTCTTGAGTCTGAAGAGGCCAATCTTATGATTTTTTTTAATCGTATGGGTAAGCAGCATTGCACTGAATAAATACTACAGCGTCCTGAAGGGCACAATCCCAGCTGAGCAAGGAAGCTACACACACTAGTTTTTCTGCAGGCATACGATTCAGCTTGAACGCTAGCTCGATGGAATAGTAGATCTAAATCTCTTAACTGTATTTCACACCTTCCTTGGTTTGTTCCAGGGAGCGAGTTCTCAGGCAACCCCTACAGCCACCCTCAGTACACAACCTACAATGAGGCCTGGCGGTTCAGCAACCCTGCATTACTAAGTGAGTATCTCTTTCCCACAGCACACCCCCAGCCTCGCGCTCCTTCTGTTTGTCTCTTTGTTTATTTTCTTTTTTATTTGTTTCTGGAAAGGGTTTTCAAGTATTCAGGCAAGTGAGAGGCCTTTTTCCTCACTCTCCAGTCCAGTGTGTAGATGGGTATATACCTCATGTGTGTTTTGTATCTGTTCTGAAGCTGATTCCTCTTTCCTGAGGACTGAGTGACAGTTCAGAATTCCAGTTCAGCATGGGCTTCTCCGTGAACTACATCCACAGTTTATTGCAGATTAGATCAAAAGTTAAACTCAAGTTCTGCTATTCTCTCAGGCTGCCATCCATATCAAATCAAAGTATGATTAAAATTCCAGATGAGGTTTCACTCCTCTCTGAAGGTAAACCCAGAGTCAGTTCCTGGGGATCTGGAAATCCCACAGAAGTTCTTTCTATTGGACCAGTTGGAACTGTGTCCAGGGTGGTAGATGGGCTTTATAACTAGATCGGTAATAGCCGATAGAGTTTTCTAGAAGGGATATATCCATCCCCAGTTCCTAATATGCCTAGAAACAGGTTTCTTCTAACACAACATTTATTTGGAAGGGAATAGGAAGAGATTTATTATATGTAAAATAAATCAGCTGCGATTATTACCTACGTATTTACTGAGGTTTAACAACTGAATAGATGCACATTTTATTCCAGTGTTGTTAAACCTCAGTAAATGTGATCTTAATAATCAATCACTATTTAACACACATTCAATAGCTGTCTAGAGAGCTTTCATGCCAAATGTGACCAAAATCCCACACAATAAAACACTATAATTTTGTTTCACTTCTCCCCTCCTGTTTTAAAAGTGACCCATTATACCTCGTCAGGTATGCTCAGAACATCTGGCCCTGACACTTTCCCTGTGGCTGCAGATGAGGTGTGGAGTATTTGTGCTGCAATGCTCATAGGCTTCTCTCTCAGTAACTTATTGATGGTCATAACTTATTGACAGTCAGAAGGAGCAAAAAGATTTCCTTCCCACTGAGGGGCTTCAAAGCCAGCGGCCACAGTAGCATCTCTCCACTGAAATGCAGCCCTTGGCTGCCTCCATTTACTGCATTTCCCTAATCCCATTAAGAGCCAAGCCCCAGGTTCCTTCTTTTGGTTCCTTTCCTTTCCTTTCCTTTCCTTTCCTTTCCTTTCCTTTCCTTTCCTTTCCTTTCCTTTCCTTTCCTTTCCTTTCCTTTCCTTTCCTTTCCTTTCCTTTCCTTTCCTTTCCTTTCCTTTCCTTTCCTTTCCTTTCCTTTCCTTTCCTTTCCTTTCCTTTCCTTTCCTTTCCTTTCCTTTCCTTTCCTTTCCTTTCCTTTCCTTTCCTTTCCTTTCCTTTCCTTTCCTTTCCTTTCCTTTCCTTTCCTTTCCTTTCCTTTCTTTCCTTTCCTTTCCTTTCTCCTTTGTTTCTTTTCTTCGTTTGATTTTTTTATTTTTTTTTTTTTTTTTACTGTTTGTCCTTTCAACCAGTCCATTCTTCTCCTGTGTTAACTTTCAGGTTCCCCTTATTATTATAGTGCCACATCCCGGGGCTCCGCACCTCCCACTGCTGCCGCTGCCTATGACCGCCACTAGTTACCATGGAAACCACATGAAACTACAGGGCGACAGCTTAGGCCTCCACATTGTACCTGTCTGATCACCTCCCCCCATCCCTGGGAAGGGTGAAGAATTTCTCCATTCCTCCCCACAGTCCAGTTCCTTCCTCTTCGCCACGAAGGCACCGGACCAAGCGCTCACCACACAAGACTGAGACCCTCACCCTCCCCTTGCCCTCTGCCCCTCTGCTCCCCCCACGCCGGGAAGAGCCTGTGGCCAAGTGGCTTCTCCTGCAGGAGCCCTCCACCACTCCTGGGCAGAGTGCAGCCACACAAAGGCCCCTTAGCTTCCAGGACGTCAGGGGGACTGGGAAGCAATACAGCTGGCAACCACTGCCTTACAGGACCCCCTTCCAGGACCGGTGAGGGCAGGGAGAACACCACTCATGAAACACTGTTCCCCAAAGATACGCTCTTCTGTGGTGGACTCTTCAATGTGTGCAACATGTGATGCTCACCCTGTTTCCCAGGACAGAGGGAACAGTCTGGCTAGAGCAGAGATGGCAGTACAGAGACCTGGCCCATCTGGCAATGAAGAAAAGGACCAAGTACCTATCTGCACCCCATGAGGGGTTCTCTGTGCACTTCATCCCAACTCTCCAGCATGGCTTCCCCCATAGTTGGCTGCACCTCACACGTGGTGACTTCACAGGCCAGAGTCGGAAGGAACCTCACACATACACCCACAATTTCTGTGACACACAATCAGCTCAGACAGGAGGATGGAGCAACATTTACAAACCAACCGACAAAATGAAGAAATATATAAATAGATATATAAATATAACTGTGTTTTTATGCTTTGTCATGAAGGTCTGTAAAAAGAAAAAAAAAAAAAAAAGAACAAATCCCAATTTTCTAAAAAACCCAAGCAAACAAAACCAACAAAAACCCCAAAATAATAATTAAAAAAAACCTACAAAAATAAAACTCCAAGTCCCATCCCTCCCCGCCACCTGAATGGCAGACGAGTTCCTCTGACGTCTGATGCTCCTCTTTCACTCTAGGGTTTTGTTTCCTTTCTGTTTTGCACTACAATGGGATGGTGGTATTGGAGAGGATTGGATGCCAGCTCTACCCCTGTTGCCTCCTTCTCCTCCTCCTTTCCCAAATCCTGTCTCTGGGGAGCAGTATGGACAAGTCACATCTGACAAAGTTACCAAACACATCAGTCGACAAAAAAGCACTCTGAGTCAACAAACGTTTTCCATGTCACTGGCTGGCAAACAAAGAAAACAAGCCCAGCTGCGCTCTAGCTGCGCTGTGTGGTGGAAAGTGTGGGGCTTCATGTGGGCCCATCTGATTGCCCTCTGGACAGCTGAGACTGAGATGGACAAATTCAGGATTGGCTGGGATTATTGCTTGGTTCCCTAGCCCTTAGCCTCCACTCCTTTTACCTTAACCCCTGTACCTGTGATGACTTCAGCTCACCCACATCCTGACTTTCACAATTTTAGATATGCCCAACACCCATTCTCCGGATCCCCACTGCTGGTGATAACAGCCTCATTATTCTGTGCCCAACACCCAATTTCCTAACCACTATAGCCTTGCTATATGGGCCCCCTTCGTTTCCCAGTCCATCTGCTCATACACCTACTAATTTATAGGCCTCCATTCAAAGCCGTATGCCTGCATCCCACCTGCCAGTCCCAACATACAGCCCCGTCTTTTCATCTTCAATCCTATATTGTGTGTCCTAATATTTACCCCTTATCCCAAATGCTCACTTGATGATTCTCTAGGGATTCTCTGCTCTTTTTGGTTCCCAAGTGACTGGCAAACTCTGTTCTGAAAAAGGCTAACTGTCAATAGAAACGCTTATTACTCCTGCATTGTCAGCAAACTCATAAACTGTTCCTTGCACTGACACTTCCTAAAAACTACTCAAAGAAAACACGAAGGCAGCTATAGCCTGTCCCCAGGGTATCAAGTCTGCCAAAGTAGATCCTTGTTGTTTTAGAGAGGTTTCAGATAAAACTCATGGGCTACTGTCCACGGACAAAGACAGGATTGAGAATCAACCCCACCCCCCCCCCCCCAGAGGGCATAAAACTGAACAGCGGAGTAATCTGTACAGCCAACATTATGTATAAAATCCAAAGTTCCAAGCCTCAGAGGAGATGTGGTTGTGGACTCGGTATTCTGTCTCCAAGTTTAACTTGTATGTATTAAATCCATCATCAGTAAACAGCTGTGTTGATCCCAAAGGCCCCCTTCACCTAACACTTTTAGCCCTTGCATGGCTCTAGCTGATTATAGGTCTGTGTCTTCTTTAATGGGGTGCCCAAATGATAATGGTGTTTGGGGAGATGTTTACATAGAAGATATAGAACTAAAATCTGTTCCTGTATAGGAGAAAATCAAAGAGGTTACTCCTAATCTATTGAAAGTGTCATTCTGCACATATTACCTCTGAGTAACCTGCTGCAAAGAGCAGTCACCAAGACCCGAATTTGGCCTGTTATCTCATCTTATATGAGAAGAAATTTCTGAATAAATTCTAAAAAATCTCTTTCACCACTCCTTCTGTTTTCCTCCACAGACAACAAATAGATGCTGGACCCTATTACTAAAGTCTCCCTCTTAGTCTCTCAGTACAGCCTTTGCTCTACATGTGCACCACCAAGTTTCACTCAGCAGGTGGTCAGAGCAGAGACACTAAATCACAGGATGAGGAAGCAGAACCTCATGAGGAGGCTAGAGAAGACTGTCACACTTCACACTTGACAACTGCAGTCCAGAGGCCACCTCAAGAGAAGCTAGCAGCTCAGAAATGCTTATTTTTATAATGGCGTTTCACTAAACTTGAGACATGAGCTTGGGTATGAAAGCAGGATGTGGTTGGCTTACTCATGGCTGGCTTGATTTGACCCTTGGAGGGCCAATTCCATTGGTGGAATGTTATTTTTATCAGTAACTCCACTGATAAAAGAGGATTTCCACCAGGCATGATTGGTCTGGAAAGTTCATAAGTATGGCATGTAATTTGACCAGAAAAATGAAAAGGAAAGCAGAATTATGCAAAGGACTGGGCAGTCTAATCCTCTTCCACCACCATCTGTAGACCCCAATGCGAATGTACTGAATTACATTTGCCAAAGAGTTTCTTGTGTTGGTTGTTTTGATTTACAGTCGGTGGATGCATTGTAAAGCAGTATTATAGCTAAAGTCTAGTAGCTGACACAGGGATTTATGTGGTGATATTATGCAGAAGAAAACCATCAATATTCATATAGATTCCATTAGACTGGACTATGCAGGAAACGCAAAAATTCTACCAATTATTTAATATTATGTTATTTGCAAAAACAATTGCTGCTTTGTAGGAAGATAATGTGTGTAATGTGAAGGCAATTCCTCTTGTAAATAAGTTCACCTCCATCTTCATCATGGTAGTTATTAAAACAGCCTCGCCTCATCCTGTAGATAAGGAACACGCTGTCTGTACTGTGCAAGTCTCGTTGTGCTCACTGAAAACAAAACAATGTGTTCAATAAAGCACAGCACAAATCCAGAACCTGAGGGAACAGCCAAAACTCGGAAAGACCCCTTCCCTAACAGGCCAACAGTTGCTTTCTTGTAGGTGGAATTGTTTATTTTTTTATTTTTAAAATTTTTTTTAAAAAAGGTTTCACAGGAAAAAATGGAAAAGAATTGGAGGAAGAAATCACTATGCAAAATCCAGTGCAGTCTGTGACTCGCATCTCTCTCCTCCATTCTGCTGCCTCTTCCCTCTCTCCCATTTCTTTCTCACACCCTCTTTCCACTCCATTTCTATCCCTCTCTTTTATTATTGTTTGTTCCCAATGCACTTTTCTATCCAGAGAGGGAACAGCATTACTGATACGAGAGCAGGTATCTGGGACCTCAAACTCCCCAGTTCTCCTTGTGACTCTAGAGAACCTTTGTCAAGTTCAATTTCCCCTCTATGCCTCAATTCCAATCTGCTGTAAAGAGGGATAACAGTAGTTCCTAGTTCACAGGGGGATTGTGCAGCTGAATTAATTAGCACTGGCTCAGTGCTTTGAGATCCTGAAAGAAAATTCTACCAAAGTGTTAAGTATTATTCTGAATAATAATTAATGTTTCCATTACATTTCTCTTTTTTCCTTTTTCTCACAAATTATTCTTTGTTTCTTTATTCTCCTTTCTTAGCTATCCCTTCACTTCTTTCTCCTCCTATCTTTCATAGCTCTGCTGCTGCATTTGCTTTATGTAACGGACCAAGCACAAATGTTGTATGACTGGATCTCCTTCTGTCACCATTTCTTCGCAGGGGAAGAATCTCGTGCCCTCTCACATGTCATGCTTCACTGGAAGCAAGAGGGACCACGACGCTTAAAACTGGGCAACACTTTTGAGTCCTGTTCTCTGAAGCTCCTTTTGGCCCAATGGGATGTGGGGAGGGTTGCACGGGATAGATGCATTAAAGCTGACATCCTTGTAACCTGTAAATCTGTTGGGGAGGGTTGGTGGCAATGAGCCCTACTGTGGAAACAGAGAGAAGTCTGCATGATTCAAACTCAGAGTAAGACTTCAGAATTAATCACATCACGAATGCGAGGATGTTGAACAAACAACAAAAGGAAAACAAAAAACTCTGCACCTTTTTCTCCTCTTGAGTATTACATATGCACACAAACATTTTCCTAAAGGAATTTTTGGTTTGCTGAACTGTTGGAAAACCCTCACCCTTTCATCCCTAAGGAAAAGCAGCCCTCCAGGAAAAAAAAAATTAGAATCATAGATGCCCCCTTTGGCAGTGACAGAATGAGGGCTTCTGAGGGACCCCACAAATACCACAGTGTGCTTCTTGGCTGGGCCCTGGACAGTGGCAAACTTGCAAGGCAGAAGGAGGGACCAAACAATGACAATTAAAGAACTGATGACAACTCAAACCCTAACCAGCTCTGCTGATGCTCTCCAGGCTAACTTAGACATAAGAGTGTGGATGGGAGGGGGCCAGTGCCAGGTGCAGGGTCATTCCAGGCTACTGCAGCCACTCTTGGCTTTTCCTCATTGTTTCAGTTCTGTTTGACTTTTTTCTTTTCTCTTTTTGCGCACATAAGAAATAAAACCAATTTTTTTTTTTTTGTATGTCATTTTGTGGCTTCCAGCTTGTTTTTCTTTCCTCTCTCCCCCCCCCCCCCCACCTCAGCACTTCTCTCTCCAGTGGATTCCCCTCCAGGTCTCCAGGATGTTATATTTGCTACACCTAGCACCCTTTGGGCACCATGTAAACAGCACTATGATTGCTAATAACCACCACACTGTGTGATGGAAGGCTCCGCACAAGCTGCAATACTGTACAGTGCAATCCAGCCTCTGAGCCCCCACCAGCCACCACTCCTCTCCTATTCATTGCCAGCAGGACTCCCTCTTCTATTGATCTCACTCAATTGACTCCCAATGATCCATAACACATCAGGTGTCCCCAGGTAGTTCAGAAAATCAAAATGCTGTTGGGTAGCCACAACATCAGAAAGACATGGGATAACCCAGAGCCCCTTCCCCTCTGTGCATGTTTCCTCATAGTCCCAGCTGGGCACGAGTAACATCAGTGCACCTCTGGGAGGATTCTAAATCTTCCCAACTCAGCCCTAATGCCCCATCTCTTGCATGCCTTGCACCATGCAAGGTCTCAGTGAGGGGAGGGTGGCTGACAGCTCTTACCCCCGCTTCTCTGCTCCCCAGTTTCAGTTTCACAGGAGGAACTGTCAGCCTGATGTTTTATTATGACTTGCTCTCTCTTAATCTGCCTTGGTCAAGCAGGAGGCAAAACCAAATGCTAAGTCATTTATAACCCATTTTTCAGGCTATTCATCGTCCAGCTAATGAAGAGTGAGGCATTATATTAAGGTATGCTATAAACATATCAAATACTGAGGTATTCACTCGAGTTTTCCTTAGTCAAGCATTAGTTCTCTATGAAGTCAGATGCAGTTCAAGGTCATAGAGGCGGAGTAAAAACATAGTAAGGAGTCAGGCTAGGCTAAATCAATTTTGCTTCTACAATTTTTAGTAATTTAAAAATATTTTCACAACAGCTCATGAAAGCCAGTGGTCCACATTTTCTGCTGGTGTGCGTGCATCTTAAGGAATGCTTGAGCAGAAGTGCTGTCATGAAATCAAACCCTTTCATGAAGCTTCTGCTCATCAAGAAAGTTAAAACATTTCTTTTTGTTTTAGTTTGTATCTTTCCCTTGCAGTATTAATAGAATAGGCTGAAAATCCCCCAACAGGGCATTTTCCATAAGTGAAAGTCAATTTGTTGAAATCCAAGCAGTCTGTAAAAGCAATTTAATTTTCACAACACCACAGCAAAACTGCCTGGCAACTATCTTGAAGTAGGAGGCCTCCAGTTTCCAGGGTCTGCTGCCTGTGAGACAGACAGGCCTAGGGTGTGATGCAGGGATAGGCCTGCGCTCAAAATCAGAACAAAACTGGACTCCAAAATTCTTAAATCTTCTATGTATCAGAATTATCCTTCTCTACCGAAGTTTAGGTGATGAGAATAAAACAGTGGATTAACAGAATCACAGAACCCACTAGGTTGGAAAACACTTTTAAGATTATCAATCCAAGTCCACCACTAAACCATGTTACTAAGAACTTCATCTACATGGCTTTTGACCCATGATCTATGGGATGGTGGTAGATGAGATCTTGGATGTTAAACTGACTGGAATCAAAGGAAATAACAAATGTACATTCTCTGTGAGAGGTGAAAGACAGGCTAAGACAAACAGACATGTGTCACAAGAAAGCAAAATGGATGTTCAAAATTCATCCTGGCAAAACACAATTAGGAGAATGTTTTAGAAGCTAGCATAATCATTTCATTTGTATCACACTTAATACAGCCCAGAGAAATGCATGCTGGCACTCCTGTGTAGGTCTCCTTAACTGATAGTGGAACTATAGCAAAACTTTTTCAACTTCCAAGAACTTACATATCTTGCAAAAATAAAAACTTGCATGAAAGAGCCATTTCTACCATTCCAGCTAGTATTATGTTCCTTTAATTATCCTGCATAATTAATGGGAGTACTCAGTGTGAAAATGTTATGTGATAAAACTAAAAAGAGCACCACAGTCTGTCTCCTAATGAGCAAAATGACATTGTAAGAGATTATGCAACACTAAGTAAAGAAATCTTTATGATTACTCTAACATAAAGAGAAGTTTGAACATTCTGAGATGAGGACAATCTTCTTTAAAAATAAATAAGTTCTTTAATGAGGTGTAGGTAAGAAAAGGTAATACACACCTGAAGGTATAACTGAGGTAGTAGATGAATTTGCTGGACACACAATCAGTACTGAAAAATTGTAAGGACCTGGGGAATGATGAAAATGGAAGAACAGCAAACATGGCACCAGTACTTTAAAGGAAAAATAACCCTGAAAATTATCATCTAGTAAACTACACAGTGCTGCTCGTATCCAAAGGAAAATACTTTAAAATATTAAGGGAAGGATTAACTCACTAAACAAGTAGCAGTTAGTGAAGATATGCATAGTAAACAGTCTGTACATAAATTCTTGTCAGCTTTAGAAAAAAAGCTGGCAATACTCTCAGGACAGTTAACTTTAGTGATTCAGGAGCTGTCTGCAGAGAAGCAAAGGAAGTTTGTGAAAGCCTGGTACTCTAAGTATTACATATAATTGTAAGTATTGCCAGCTCCTTGTACTTGAAAATCATGAACCAAGTGCACACAAAAATCACAACGCTGACTGGAAAAAATGTAATTGGTATATAATGCCAGATACCATTTTGTATATATATCTACATACATATATATAAAATAAAAACAAAAGAAATTTCATTTGACTTCTAACTTTAATGTTCTCCAGACATCTATAGCTACATTATGAATTGTGCCCCTTCCACTGTGAGAGTCAGAAATCCATTTCTTGCAGTGAAATGTGAGCATCTCTCTGCATCACAGGGAGCCTGTGGTGCAGTGCTTTTGGAAGCAGATCAAATGCCACAAGACCTGGAAATGGCCCTGTAACTCCTGTCAAGGCTGACAGAGCTTTACAAACACAAAATATACAAACAAATAACAAACTTGTCAAAGACTTGGGTTTTTTTCCCTGCCTTCTGCTGTGTGACATTTTGGTGGAACCTACCCATACAAAGCATGTTTGAGCATTCTGGGTTCAAAGTCTTGTGTTTTGGTTCTTGTGCTGGTTGAAGAGAAGCTCAACATGAGCCAGCTTCTGTGTGCACTCGCAGCCCAGAAAGCCAGCTGCATCCTGGGCTGCATCAAAAGAAGTGTGACTAGCAGATTGAGGGAGGTGATCCTGCCCCTCTGCTCTTGTGAGACCCCACCTGCAGTCCTGTGCTCAGCCTGGGGACCCTCAACATAAGAAGAATGTGGACCTGCTCGAGCGAGTCCATAGGAGGGCCATGAACAGGATCAGAGGGCTGGAGCACCTCTTCTCTGAAGGTAGACTGTGAGAGTTGGGCTTTTTCAGCCTGGAGAAGAGAAAGCTTCAAGAAGACCTCACA